TGTCCCCTGTGGAGTACTCACCCTGGAGCTGGTTGTTTCTGTGTGGTGTAGGTCGTCAGTTGTTGTTGCAATCTGAGTTCAGTTGGGGTGGTTGCAGGCTGGGCTGGGCGGTGGTGGCTCTGTGTGATTCTTTTCTGTCTCTGCCTCTATCGAAGCTGTCGGGTCCACAGTGTCCACACTAAGGCGGCTTCTTCGAGGGTTGTAGAGATCTGGTGGGTCTGACGCTGGTGCCTTTGGCGGCTTCTGCTCAGGTGATCTGCAGGCAGCCCCCTGTGCCTCTGGGACCCGGGCGGCCCCCGCCCGGTCTTGCGATCGTGATCGGGCGGGTCCAGTAACCTCAGGCGGCCTCTGCGCGGGTGATCTGCAGACAGGTCCCTTTGTCGCGCTGCCGGTGCCGGACAGCTTTGGTGGGATGGAGCCTCTCTGCTCGGGTGGAGAGTGAGGGGTGGGGGTGGGATCCTCATGGAGACTCCCGGCTGGTAGGTTTCTCTGTTCCTGGCAATCAGTTGTTCTGCAAGCTGGTACCTCAGACGGCTTCTGCGCAGGTGATCTGCGGGCGGCCCCCTGTGTATCTGGGGCTCCGGCAGCCCCCGTCGGGCTGTCTGGCCAGCGGCTTGGCGCACTGCCGCGCGGCCAGTAAAGGTTGGGGGAGGGGTCTTTGCTCTTCTCTGTTCTGAAATTCTTCTTTTCCTCTCTTTCTTTTTTTGTTATTTTCCACCTCCAGTTTTTCTCTGAGTGTTCGTCTTTTTGTTGTTGTCGGTCTCTTGGGGAGATTTGCGTTGGAACTCGAACTCTCTTTTTGGTTGGGGAGAGCTGTGGTGTTTCCCTACTGCCCCATCGCCATCTTGGTCCCCCCTCTCCCCCCCCCTTGAGTTTTATAAAAGCTTAACCAGAACAACCCAGTCCTCTAGAGAGAAGAGCAATCATCACCAGATCAAAGTTGAGACTCTAAGCAGTCCTGTGACACAAGCATGCCCAGCAACTTCCTGGCCCTACCCTTCAGCATTTGAAGAAGAACTGGAAAAACTCTTGGCCTTAACTCAATCGTTTTGTGCTCAAGTCACTTAAGTTCTTAATTTCTCTTTTGTACTGATCTTCCTTCAAAACTTGCTCTCAACAACTCTGTTCTTGTCACTTCAGTCCTTTCAGAATGAAGTTTCTGGCCTAATCCTGCAAATGTCATGGTTGTTAAAGCAAGAATAACACACTGTCTTCAAAGAATGAAGTTTCTGGCCTAATCCTGCATATGTCATGGTTGTTAAAGCAAGAATAACACGCTGTCTTCAAAGAATACAATGCAGGATTTAAAAAAAAATGGGGGGGGGGCTTATGCCTTTCTCCTCATGGGCTGGGTGAGCACTTGCCTAGCCTATGTGAGACTCCAGCTTCAATCTCTAGCACCATAGAAAAAGGAGAGAGAGGGACAGAAACAGAGACAGAGGGAGAGAAAGAGGGAAAGAGACAGAATGAGTGATCTATGGACCTGCCTATTTCTTGCTTTTCTCAGGAACCCCATGAACATCTTCTGCCAATCTCTCTGTTCTTTGCTTCCTTAACTGCCCTCAAAAGAGTTATTAATTCCAAGCAGGTATGTGATTAATTAGTTTTTGAGTATCTCCTATGTGCCTCCTATGTGTCTGTCATAAAGGTACCACAAGGATCCATTTTAAAATGTAAAAATTGGAAGTGGCGCTGTAGCTCAAGTGGTAGAGCACTTGCCTTGAGCTGAAGAGCTGAGGGACAGAGCCCAAGCCCAGAGTTCAAGCCCCACGACTGACCAAAAAAAAAAAAAAAAAAGAACCTTAAAATGTAAAAATGTAGTTATTTAAATGGCATGACTTGAGGTCAATCAAGTGGACACAATGGCCCAGATGGAATCTGGGTGCCCAGCTTTGAGCAGGATGTATGGTTGTGTCAAGGCTGCCATATCTGTTTATGGAGGGTTACACCTGGCATAAGGCCCAGAAGCAGGGCTCTGCAGAGACTGGAGAATAGCAAATGCGCTGCCTGCCACATGGGCCTTCGGGGCAGCTCCATTCCCCTCATGAGAGAGCCTCTCTTTTCTAATGGTTCATATGGGTAACCTAGTGGATAGGCCAGGACCAGGAAGAGCTAGAAAAGAGAAGTAAACAATATTCCAGGGGGCACCCAAGATCAGATCTAGCCAGGCACCAGTGGCTTACACTAGTTACTCAGGAAGCTGAGATATGAGGATCACGGTTCAAAGCCAGCCCAGGCAGAAAAGTGTGAGACTTATCTCCAATAAACTATGCAGAAAAAGCCATAAGTGGCACTGTGGCTCAAGTGGTAGACTGCTAACCTTGAGCACAAAGAGGCTCAGGGATGGTGCCCAGACCCTGAGTTCAAGCCCCAGGAATGAAAAAAAAAAAACTAACAAATGTTAGATATTAAATCAAGAGATAAATGGGACCACTGCTGAGCTCGTTTGGGATGTAAGTCTTCCCTGGTATTAATATTTCACACTAAGGCTTGTACCTACATGCTATAAAAATAAAACTTAAATGAGAGTGAGAGATTGAAACCACCACACACCTTCAGTGGGTACAGAGAGAGCCAGGTGAGGCCACGCCCATCTACCTGGAGCATGTCCTTGTCAAGATAGGGGCAGGAGTTTCGTAATGATACAGGGCAGGCTACCACACCACGATCCTCTCTTCTTATACTTCGAGCTATTTGTGCAGTTTCTGGACCTTCTTGGATGGGGGGGGGGAAACAGCTGTTGAACATCAGTTATTCTTCTTTGAAACAAAAACCAAACAACACAATGGACCCATCACTCATCCCAAAGCTATCCATGTAAGCATTCCCTAAACCTACATGCCACTCACCTGACCCCCTGAGCTCTCTGAGTGTCCACCAAGCCATCCCCGGAGTTCTTCTTTTGTTTCCCTTTCCACTTGAGATAAAAATCAGTCTTCTCCAGAGACAGTGAGCCCCATATCACCCCCTTCCCTGCCCAGCCTCTGCGTATCCTGGGGGTTTACTCCTCCCAGCTCAATGCTGCAGACTTGAGGAGCCCCTCCACCTTTAAAGGCAGCACTCTGACTCCCTTTCTTGAGTTGCTGGTGCCTATGGTTGGAATGATCTTCTCTGGTGTGTTTTCTTCCCAGCCTTCAGGGACATCTAGCTTTGATTACTTAGGACAAACCCAGATCAGCAGGTGACACCTGTGGAGGCTTCTCCTTTGAAAAAAGCCATAGACCATAGATTGGAGTGAACAATTCTGTCTCATGAGAAGACACTGGTGTGTGTGTGTGAGAGAGAGAGAGAGAGAGAGAAGAGTCAGAGAGAGTACTGAAGCTTGAACTCAGGACTCTCCCTCTTCCGTAGCTTTTGTGCTCAAGGCTGGCACTCTACTGCCTTGGCCACATTCCCACTTCTGGCTTTTTGCTAGCTAATTAGAGATCAGAATTTCTCAGATAAGTCTCCCCTAGCTAGCTTGAAGCAGTGCTCCTCACAACATCTCTAGGCGTATAGTAATTAGGAGTACAGGTGTGAGTCGCTGGCTCCTTGATTCCTTTTATTTAAAAAAAGTAAGACCTCCAATTTTGGTACACAAGCATGAAACAGACAATTATACTTTTCACACCAGAGTCAAGACTTTATTGGAAGAATGAATGAGAGCGCTGCCTGTGTTCACAGCGCTGTTGAACATCTTGGGATGAAGTGGACTGCAGCCTTTGTCCTCCTTCTGGCGGCGGGGCCTCTAGCGCCCAAAAGTGTTGCAGGGCCCACAGCGAGCCCGGGTCAGGCAGGGATTGGCAACACAGGGCCCGATGGGCTTGTCACAGGCATTGCTGGTGGCACAGGGGTTACAAGGAAGCCTGGAAACAGGAAATCATTAGAATGAGTCAGAGTCAAACAAGTTAAGGATCCCGGAAGATACCAGACGTTCATTTTGTCAGATGACCTAACAAAAAGTTAGAAGTAAGTCCACCTGGAAGACATTTGTTCTCCCCAAAGCTTCGTGTGCCCTCCACCCCGGGGGGCCAGTTAAACAAAACAAACATAATTTGTCCCAGACTCACTTGCAGTCCTCACTCTCCAGCAGGCCCCGGTACGTGTTGATCTCACACTCTAGCCGGGCCCTGACATCCAGCAGCACCTGGTACTCCTGGTTCTGGCGCTCCAGGTCAGACCTGATCTCAGACAGCTGCGACTCCACGTTGGTGATCAGACACTGCACCTGGGACAGCTGGGAGCTGTAGCGGGCCTCACT